CTGAGGCTGCAGGTGAAATAAGAACTTTCAGCTAAGGCAAGAGGAGGGGAGCCGGGGAGAGGCAGGGTGCCAGCCAGGCTATTTCAGAGCAGGACTGATGCCCAGGAAGACAAAAAACCCAAATAAACCAAGGCTGGATTTAGGAATGAACTGCTTTACACGTTGTTGGTGGCTTGTCCTCGCCAGCTTTGCTTTGCTTGGGCACACAGTACAGTGTTAATTATATAAGCAACGCATTATTGTGAACATTGAAATATTGCCAGTGAGGCAAAATCTTCATGATCTCTACCCAATCCCCTCCCAGTGCCACTGTCCACCTTAAAGGAACTCACAATGTTCAGTTTAGCTTCAGATGAGTAGTTAGGCCGAGAGATAGGCCATAGAGACAGATGGATAGATGATCAATCAATCGATAGATGGATAATAAAGATGGATGATAAAGATAGATGGATAGATGATATAGATAGATAAAGATAGTTAATAGACGACAGAGGAAAAGATATAGATAAATGACAAACAGATGATAGATGGGTACATAGAGATGATCAATAGATGATGGATAGCTATAGATAGATGATGGATGATGGATGGATAGGTATGGATAGATGATATTTATGTGATTACATTCAGTTAAAAATATTCCTCCACACTCTTGTCATGCCATCAGAGAGGATAGTGCTTCATTCATTCATTCATCATGGTGTTCCATTGATAAGAGGTGCCATAGTTCAACTATAACCCTACTGATGGATATTGATTGTGTTGTTTTCCTGTTGTGTAATGGTGAGCACCCTTTCACATGGCTTTGGCAGATTTTAAAATAGGTTCATGAGTGACGGGTGGGGACAGGAGTCCCTTGTGATCTCGGAGGGCCTGAAGTGTGAAGAAAAGGAGCTGGGATTGAAGTCAGGCCCCTGAAGAGTCTCCAAATGACTACTGTGCCCGGAGCCTCCCACCTGGAGCTCAGGCCCCCTGCATTCTGGTGGATCCTTGGTGACCTCACGGCCTGCTGCTGGCACAAGCAGCCATGTTCCACCTTGCATGTCACAAACTGTGTCCTGGCCTGATCCAGGCAGGTTAAAATGAGAGCCCAGTGTTGGAGTGATAATAATGCTCTCACTGAGCTGATTTCCAACAGACTCACTCCCTCCCGAAAATGATCACAAACAATATTTCTACAGCAGCCCCAGCTGAGGGACAGGTGCTATTTTGAGCTGTTTTCAGTAATTGGTAAATGCAGGGATGAGTGGGAGGAAGCACGAGGGCCCTCTGGATGCAGTGCTGACGTCATGGGTGAGTTTTCAGAGACGTGGGTTTCCTGTGTGGCTTGGGGAACAGTCTCTCCCCTGATCACGTGTTTTTGGGACCGCTGGGCAGCAGGTGACTCCTTTGTTCTCAAGTCCTTTGCATAGCTTCAGGCCACCTTGGGCTGTGGCTGGTGTGTACTCTCAACCAGAAGTCTCATAAAAGATCTAAGCAGCCTGCCGAGGGGCCAGGGAGATCAGCTTGAAAGGCAGAGGGCGGTTTGTTTGTGTTTTATGGAGAGGAGTCTGCTGAGAGGCCTTCTCTCTCTCTGCCCCCATCTGCTTGCATGTTGGCAGAGCTCCTTCTACAGAGCTCGGAGGGAAGTCACTGTTCCTAGTGAGGGCAGGGGCTTTGGGGCTGGGTGTTGACGGAGTGCATATCCTGCCTCTTGCTCTGGATACCTAACACCATGCCTTGATTTACTCATCTGAAAAACAGGCATAATAATATTTGTCGTCCCCCTCCCCCACCCCAGAGCGTTTCGGTGAAGACACACTGAAAGGAAGCAAATCCATCACCAAGCCCAGTGGCATGTGGCAAATGCTCAAGAGGTGGCAGCCACTTTTAATACTGTCACACTGCGTTGCAGTGGTCTCTTTGCTCTTCTACCAGGTTGTGAGTTGTTCTGGAGATCAGAACCATGTTCTCCGTTGCATTCTCAGGTCAGGTTCTCAGACGAGACTGAATGAGAGAAAGGGGAATAGATGAAAATGGCCACACTTTGTGTTACTCAGTTTTTTGTCACTGTGAGCAAAATGCCTGACAAGAACAACTTGGAGGGGAAAGATTGATTTTGGCTCATCGGTCAGAGGATTCAGTCCCTGGTGGTCCAGTTTCATTCTTCTGGGCCCGAGGTGAGGTGGAACATCATGGCAGGAGAGCATAGTGGAGGGAAGCTGCTCAGTTCATGGTAAGCTGCAAGGGGAGAGAGAGAGAGAGAGAGAGAGAGAGAGAGAGAGAGAGAGAGAGAACAGGGCCAGAAGATAAACCCTTCCAGGGCATGATCCCAGTGTCCTACTCCCTCCAACTAGGTCCCACTTCCTGTAGTCCATTCAAGCATCAGTGGGTTAATTCTTCAAGGATAAATTCACCATTGAGGTCAGAGCCCTCAAGATCCAATCATTGTCTGAAAGCCCCACCTCTGAACCTTGCTGCATATGGGCCCCATGCTTTCAACATGAGACTTTGGGGACATTTCAGATCCAGACCATAAGGCTTTGCAACTTCTCCCATGAAGCTGTGACGTCTGTTTCCTCTCTGTTGGTTCCTGGGATGACCATAGGAATGTGTTGACCAATAGAAGTCCATGGAAGAGATGCTGAGTGACCTCCAAGCCCAGGCCTCAAAGACCTTTTAGTTTCTGTTCTCAGCCTATTTCTGCCCATGGCCACCATGAGAGGAAGTCCAGGATGGCCTCCTGGAAGGGGAGAGTATATACAAACTGGCCTCCATGCCAACCCGCCTCCTCTCCCACTAAAAGTCTCCAGATATAAGTGAGACACATGGAGGAATCTTGGCTTCCAGTAGACCTGCCGATGGCAGCCACAAAGGTGACCCTGGTGACACCAGCAGAGGCTTCCTCCACATTGTACAATCACGAGCAAATAGATGGTTGCTATTTTAAGCCAAGTCTTGGTGAGGTTTTTCAGCAGCAATAGATAAATGAGACAGGAAGTTTGGAAAAAGTCATCTTGATGTTCCTAAGAGACAAAGGAGGGAAAGTTGTGCATGGCCAGAGCGAACCACGGAGTGTCAGAAAACAGAATTGCCCAGGTGCAGAGAAAAGGCTGTGGCAACCCCGGGGCAGGTGCTCTAAAACAGATGACACTCAGGAGGGCCAAGGGGCTCTCAGACAGGAAATGCTGATGTTGTCATCACCACTGAAACTGCCAAGGACCATGAGGACAGTGTCAAAGGAACACACCGTGGTGCCCTAGGAGCTCTGTGGGGGCTCAGACGGAAGGGGCAGGGCAGGGAGGTCCTCATCCAGATGAGCACGAGTCTGACACAGGCCTGCAGGAAGGGTACCACAGTGGGCTGGAGTACCAGGGACAATGGAGTGGACACACCTGAGACTTTCAAAGCAAGAGGAATAGGGATGAGGAGAGCCCACTCTTCACTGGACCTTGTCATGTTGACAGTGCTCCCCTCTGCTAAGTTCTATCAGGGAAACCACTTCCAAATCTGGAGGAAGGAGAAAAACAGCTGAGAAAAACAAAGTCCAAATAAGATGAGGCAGGAGCCAGATTGTACTTGGACTTTTGGAGATTTTTATGCCCTGGCCAAAGTGCATGTCGAGCTTGAGAAGAGCTTTGCACAGGAAGGTGGACGCAGTGGGTGCACCATTAGTCACTGCTTGGTGGGTGCTCGGGGGTGTCAACCCACCTAGAGTTGCTTGGCAAGAGCACAGATTCCTGCCCACAGACTTCCCAACTTCCCAGCCAATTTATAATGTCAGATTCTGTGGGTGGGGAGCAGGAGTCTTCTATGTACTTAGCAACTACGTGCCCACCACTGCCAGGCAATGTTCTAAGCAACACAGACATCTTCAGAACAATCCTACGTGGGAGACTACACAGGTGGATTATTCCTTATCTGAAATGTCTGGTTTCCAACGTCTGGTTTTTTGGGATTTGGCAATATTGGCACAAACTTTACCAGTATGGCATCTCTAAGCCTCAAATTCAAAATCTGAAGTGAACCATCATGGTCAAAAAGTTTCAGATTTTAGATTAGGGATGCTCAGTTGCTGCTGTTTTAGTGATAATAAAGCTGAGGTCCGGAGAGGTTGATTGAGCCAAGTTACAGCAAAAGCAAGAGATGGGACTTGAACATGAGGATCCAATCTGGCTCTAGACCCCATGTTTGTAACCATTAGGCTCTCCTGCCATTTGTCTATTCCTAGCGAGTTCCACAGGCTTCCTCCTCACACTGACATTTGCAAACCACTGCTCTAAAGAATCTGGAAATTGGAGAGGTCAAGGTTGTGCCCAACTTCAAAAATGAGGAAAAATAATACCCCAGCTGTCATCCTCCGTAAAGCCACGGCAGGGTTATCAAATAGATGGCTGTGGTTACTGAGAGGAATAGTGAGCACCAGGAATCAGCATGGGTTCACTAAGCATGAGTCAAGTCCAAATGAGCTCATTTATTTTACTGAGAGCAAAGCTGGACCAAAGAATCAGGAGTGCAGTGAATATTTCCCAGTACATTTCACTCTGGTCCCCCTGAAGATTGGTTCAGTTTGGGGGCAGGTCTGAGAGAATTGAACCAATGCAACAAGAGGAAAACCTTGCTTGAGGCTTTGGAGAAAGAGAATCCAGTCTCCCGCACTGTGCATGGGAACAAAGAAGTATGTTATCCCAATTACTCTGGCAGTCACCTGATGAGCCTGAGGGAGCCAGATTTAAAATTAAGCTCCTACCATGGATCCTAATGAGAGGACAGAAACTGAGTCTCTGAAAACATTGTTCATCTACTGAATTGACCAACCTCGAAGGTGCATCTATTTCTGGGCCTCTCATTTTGTGAGACCATCAATTTCCTTGTTGTTTAACCAAGTTTAATTTGGATTTTTATGACCTGCAAGGAAAAAAAAAAAAAAACCCTAACCAATTCAAAGGGAATGCCCTAGATATGATGTATTTCAATTTCAGAAAGTTAATTGACTACAATTTTCAAGATATCCTTGTGAACAAAATGAAGAAACCAGAGATAAATAATGTCATCTGATAGAATCATACCGGCAGATCTAAAGTTGATCAGAAGCCATTTGGAATGAGCCCATGGTACCTTTAAGATAGCTGAGTACATGCTCAGAAAGGGTGGGAGTCTGCACCTTTAAAAGAAGCCCCACACCATCAGGATTCAGCCTTCTGGAATTTGTTTGGACATTGCCTGAAATGCCTCTTTAAGCTGCCTATTCCTAAGCTGGGTGCTTGTCTTGAACTCCCTCGTTGGTATATTCTCCTTAAGCTGCTGGTGTTTGCAGACTGAATGCCAACACCTGGGTTTGTCTTCGGCCTCTCTCGCCTTCTGGCAAGGCACAAGGTTCCCAGCTTCAGTATTTCTCCCCTGACCTTACCCTTTTTTCCTGGCTTGCAATTGAACTTTGCCCTCTAATTCTTCAGAAGGGACCCCTGGCATCAATCTAGTTTTAGTCCAAATTCACAGTGAAACCCAGTATTTGACATTGGAACCAGAGTCATGCTTCACAGATCAGTGTCACCGATAGGTGGTCTCTAGCAGATGGAACAGAGTCAACCTTGACCCTTGGCCTGGTTTTGATCATTGGCTGGGCACAGAAAACCTGCTCAGCCAGTTTGTCTGGAAGCTGCAAGCCTAGCTCATGTACTGGCTGACAAACTAGAACTTCAAAACAATCTTATAAGTAGCTGGCATAATAAGCTGAAAACATATTTTTAAATCTCAGCTACAGAAGTAGCTTACAGCAGTTTATGTTAAAAAATGGGCTAACTAAAATCAAATAAAAAAAACTGTAGTTTTTTAAAACAGGCAGTGATGGGATGTGGCTTCTCAAAAACCCAATGGCACACTTGAAGTACAGCGTTGAACCGAGGAAGGAACTATCTCTGGGGAATTCCTTGGGGACCTGTATTTGAAAAAGGACTTCCAGGGGGCATCAAAGGATAGGGACAAGAGGACAGGAAGAGACCTCTGCAAGACTCCAGACCTACAGTCAGGGATCAATCAGCAGAACTTACAGAAGAACAGAGAAGGAAGCGTGTCCTATACAAGCTAATAGGACTTAGCAAGAGCCAGGGTGGTGGAGTAAGAGTTCCAGGCTCAAATCCCAGTTCCGCCTCGTGCTAAATGCAGGAGCAGGTTAGTTTCTCTAAAACACAGGATAAGCTTCTGTAAAATGGAGATAAGAGTTTCCCCCTTGCTGGATTATTTGAGATAGTCTACTACTAGCATAGTACGAGGCACAGAGCTAGACTCAAAAATCTATAGCTATTATTGTCATTAATAACAATGATCACATGGGGTTCCCAGTGACGCACTAGGTTTCCCAACTTTGGAGAGGCACAAGAGGCTGTGTGTCAACTCAGGAAATTAGAAAACGTTTTTATATTCTGGGTTGGAGGTTGAAATAACTGATTTCTGGTTAGGGCAGGGACAGTCATCTATTATTGGGACTGAAATTCCCAGCTGGCCTGGAGATCCAGAAGTCTCTCTGTGTGAAATACTGTTGCATCTGCTGCATGTGTATCTCTGGGCCTCCTTACGTATCTGCGTGTGTGTGTGCACATGGGAGCGTGTGTGTGCAAGCGTGTTTGCATGCAACAGTGTCCCACTTGGCAAGACATCCAATGATCGCGTGTGAAGCCACTCCAGTTAGCAGCATAATAAAAGGCAGATTCTGATGTGACCCAAGTCCACATTCATCCCGGCTCCTCTGCCAGGGGCACTTCCCTCAGTTGATCTCTGTGATTCTTGGACTTGGAGGAAAAGTTTATCAATAAGGCCTTTAGCACTGCTGATTGTTTCATCAGATGAGGGTCAGGTCTGTGGCTTGGGATTTGAGAACTTGCGGTTAGCATCCTGCTTAAAAAAAAAAAAAAAAACTTTAAGTATCTAGAATTAGGCCTCAGCCCCACTGGATTCCTTTTGGGGGCTTTTTTGTGCCCTTTTAAAAAGCTTTTTCTCATCCTCCTTGAGGCACCTTGTACCAAGCTATTTAACAATACCCCTCTCCTGGAAGACAAGCGTTTGACCAACAGATCAGTACTGAGTGATGAGTCCCTGAGAGTACTAGACACGTACCAGGGACTGGGCGCATCCCCAGCAGACAGGGTTTACAGCTCAGCAGGAAAACCAGAGGCAAACAACCCCCAGGATAAAAGCTGCTCCAGTCCCGTGAATCTGCAGGGCAGTGGCAGGTGAGAGTTCGATCCACCTCTCCACCGGCCAGCCGCTAGCTCCAGCTCCTCCTCAGGGAGTGTGGCCATGCTGGTCCTATGGTAGCTGGAGGGTGGCAAAAAATATCTTAGGGAGGCATTCCTGGGATCCTGCCGTCATCCCATGTGGGTGACTCTCTAATAAACGCTCTGAACATTCTGTAGAATGCTCCTCTCATTTCTCGGCCGGCATCCCAACGCAACTAGTTAAAGAGCTGTCCCTGTCTCCGCTTTGCAGACAAAAAGCCCAAGGCTCTGGGAGGTCAGGTGGGTTATCACCAGATACAACATGCCAGAGCCAAAACTTCAGACCAGGTCCTGGAATTCCAGATCCTGTGCCCTCACCTGCACAGCTGCTCTCTCTTGGAAGCTGCCAGGGCTGGTCTCTGGCCGGAGCTGGTCCATCTCCTGCTGGGGCCAGCTTCTCCCCTCACCTCTGGTGTGCTGCCCATGGGTGAAGAGCTTGAGGGAGCCTGGATGGCATGCTTGTTGGCACCATGCACAACCTCTGGGGAACTTCTTTCGCTCACCATATTTCCTCATTTCCCATCCTACCTCCTACATAGACCGTTTCCCTTTGGAATGCCATCTGGAGCAGCAATGGCCCCTGTACAGTCTGGCCAAGCAGTATGGGGGCCATTCCCCAGAGCAAGCCTGGTGGCTGAGCCCTTGTTGGCAGTGCAGGAACGTTCTTCCTGCCTTTGAATGATCTGGTCCCGCTGCCAAGGGGTCCTTTATAAATTCTCTCCTGAGTTATTCTCTACTTATTGTTGTTATTGCTATTGATCCATCCTCCAAACAGCAGAGGTCCCAAGGCTCAATTTAAACCATCAATCACATTGATAATTCCTTTATTTGTAATGTTGTTCCATCTGAGACTCTCAGAATGTCTAACAATACCTAAGAGAGGTGGAGACATTCTTCTCTGAGGGAAACTGAGGCATGCAGACATAGACTCTGGATCCTGATGCCTTGCTCAGTTCCTGTGCCACTAAGAGATACTGAGCTTGGTTGGGATCCTCAGATCAGTTGCAGATCCTGGAAGGTAGGCCTTCCACTCTCCCCAGGCCCAGGCAGCCTTCAGCCCTGTCCTCCTCCCTTTGCAGTCTAGTCTCAGAGGAGACAATGAATAGCTTTTCCTCCATCCCAGCCCCCCAGATATGGAAATCTGCTTTGTGAAAACTGAAAGAATATTTTTTTATAAATGGAGGGTTGGGGGCTGGATGGGGGTGGATGTAGCATCACAGATGCTTGCTTTTTCCATTCTGAGAATATTGGCAGGAGAAGAGGAATTAAGGTGCTACGTGGGTACCCGAGTTTCCTTATATGCATAGAACAACATGTCTTCCGGTGGGGGCACCATAACCTCTTGCGGCAGCCAGTGGGGAGCAAGTTCTCTTTTCTCCAGGCCCACGGGCCAGCCGCAGCGTAGCCATCCGGGCCCTTCTGTTGTGGGGTGGAAGCGGATGGTGAATGTGGGCAGTGTTCGTGCCGGTTATTCAGCTCCCAAAGTGTTTATAGTAGCAAGATCCAGGAAGGTCTCCACAGGGGACAACAACCACTGAGTACATGCCTCCTCCCTAACAATACTACCTCGATCTTCCTGGGCTGTGTTTGTTTAGGCTATAGGGGGGAACTGATGTCCTTTCTCAGTAGTCACACTCACCCCTGTGCCCTACCTTTCAACTGCACTGTAAGACATCTGACCTCACCTGTTGGCAGAAGCAAGCATAAATCAAGTTCCTGTTTCAAATCTTCCGGCCTCATAAAACTTGCCACATTTTGCAAGATGGGGTGACCCATGCCCTATTTCATCTCTGGGGGAGAGCAGACACAGATGCGGCTGATGGATGGGAAGTTTAGAAAACGAAGTCTTGGGAATCGATAGAAGAATATACAAGCAATGTATCATGTGAGGGCCTCTTGTCTGTGCTGCAGTAAATCAAAAGTAACGAATGGCAGACTTCGGCAGCCCAGGACCCCGGCCTTTCCCCGAGGGCAGGGGTTTGCCTTACGATCAAATTTTCACAGTCCAAGTACTTATTTTCTACTTCAGTAGACCTAAAAATAAACCCTGATACTGACTTTTTTTTTAACGTCTCTGCCCCCCCACCCCCAACTCTTTTCCTCTTTAATTTCCATCCTGGAGGCACTTGGCGTCCAAGTGTCCCTTGTACAGGGGCGATGTATTGCACAGATAAGCTGCCTCGGTGGCTCTGCAGATGAAAGACTCATCCCCAGGGCTGTGTTACTGCGATATTAGCAAACTCTGATCTGCCGCAGTCTGAACACCTCAGTGCCTCGAGATGACTATCTCTGAGGTTCCTCCAGCACTGGCCAAAGAGAGGCTTTGAGGGGCTGCTCGCAGGCTTGGAGGCAGCCCGTGCCCTGGCCTCAGCCTCAGCAGCCTCCCTCAGCCTCTCCCTGCACCTCCCGCTTGGAGATCCATCTACTCTGTGCCCCCGCAGCCTCTCACATGGGGGCTACACTCCATCATTTCTGGGCCTGGAGGTGGACTGGGCATCCTTCTGGCTTCTCACTGCTCAGTTTCCTGCAGTATCCATCCCTCCCCCTGACAGACACCCAGATTTGCATCTCAAGTTCAAGGCCCCCTGCCCCTCCTGCTGCTGCAGCCCTCTACAACCTGGGCCCTCCCTGTTCTTCCTGGCACATTTAGGCTGTTGGTCTCCATCCTCTGCAGCATAATTAGTGGGATTCTCCCGGGGCCTGGCCTCTCTGCGTCTTTTCCTCTCCTCTGATGAGCTGTCTTTACCCTCCCCCTGCCACACATCTGTGGTCTTGGCCCAGACCGTGTTGTCATCAGCAGTTTTCATCATTCGGTAATCCCTGTCTCAAGACCAGACATCCAGTCCCTTTAATTCCATCCCTCGGGTGTCACCTCCTGGCCCCACTGGATCTACGATTTGTTGATCCGATCACTTTGTCACATATCTTTCCTCATATCCCAGCACATCTACCCCAGATGCCATTCCCTGATCCATGGTCATGATCAATCCATGGTAAATGTCCTCAAATTTCTTATGCCTCTCTCACTTCCTGGTCACCTAGAAAAATCTCCATCCCATTCCCTTCGATCATGGCTGCACATTGGTGAGCAGAGTGACGCTGGAGAAGGATACTCAAAGTATGTGGACTGTCTAATTTTAAATGCATACGTCCCAGACTCGGGTGGGTGCTGGCTGCTGGCTGGAATCATCCACCATCTCCCTGGTCCATTCATTCTCCTGCTCTCCCAGACCAGTGGTCATCCTTTTCCCCTCTCTCCTTAAACTCCAATACCTCCCCTTCCCCCCGTCTCCACTGATAACCTTGCTTTGTAGTCACTGAAAAAATGGGAACAATCAAGGACAAACTTCCATAAACTCCCAGGTCTGCCCCCACCCCCACCCCCACATCTGTTTTCCACTCCTCTATCTTTCCCTTACTCTGTGGATGGACTGTCAGCGCTCCAGGCCAAGGTCAGCCCTGAACCAGGCCTCCTGCAGCAGGTCCTCCTCCTGCTCTATCCCTGCCCTTACTGTCACCATCACACCCCACCCCCCAATCCCCTGCCTCCACCTCCCCCACTCCTCCAGTCCCTCACCCCCGCCCCAGCACGCACACTTGCTGTTATTGTGTCTATCTTTCCTTGGTTTGTTCTTGGAGCTGGGGATTGAGCCCAGGGCGTGGCACGCCTTGGCAAGCGCTCTATCAGTGAGCTCTCTCTCCAGACTTTTAAAAACTTTTTGAGACAGGGTGTCACTGAATTGTTTAGGCTGGCCTTGAACACGGATCCTCCTGCCTCAACCACCCCAGTAGCTGAGATCAGAGGCGTGTGTCACTGCATCCAGTTTATTCCTTCTATTTGAAAGGAAAGAGGAGACTAGAACCTTCTAGGCTCACTTCCTTCTCCAGCTCCTTACAGTAACCCTCCTTAAAAGAGCTGTCACCCTCACTCTGTGCAGGGAGGGTCTCATCCCCACAGCTCTGGTCCAGGCCATCGCCGTCTTCCATGGCAGGAACTCAGCGGGGACCTCAGTTCTCACCTTGCTTGTCCCAGCAGCAGCACTGGGCGGTACTGATGGCTCTCTGCTCACAGGATACCAGGGCCCTGAGGCTCCTGGCTTCTTCACCCACCGCTTCCTTCTGCTGTCTCCTGTGCTGGGTTCTCTTCATCTCAACACCTGACATCAGAGCTCCCAGGGCTTGGCCTGTGAGCATCTCCTACTCCCCCCCCCCACCCCACAGCCCCTTGGTAATACTGTGGCCTTAAACTGGCTTCATATGCAATCTATATGGCGACAAATCCAAATTTATACCTCTTCGAAACTTTCTATTCTCGACATGTAACTCCCCTGCCAAAGCTCTTCAGTGACTCCTCTGCCTGAAGGATAAAGTCCCCAAACCTGAATGGGACATAAAAGTTCCTGTATTCTCTGGCCCATCCCATTATTTTCCATAACTGCTGGGCACTGCCATGTGCCTTTTGTGACATCTGATTCTATAAACAGGCTCCTCACCTCAGGCCTTCATGCAGTATCGTCCCCTCCCAAGGACTCCTGGCAGCCCTCCTTCCCCCTCCCTTGCTTGGTGGTGTGACCAAAAACTGGATAGGTCACTCGACGCTTTTCAAACCCACGCTGTGCTTTCCAGCCTCTGTCCGGACTACGTACCTCTCCAGCTCCTTTTCTGCTCCATTTTCACCTGTTGGAAGGAGATTTCTCTCTCAGATCCCAGTGGGAATGCCTTTCTCTGAGAGGGCCGGACCCCTTCCTCCTGCGTGTGCCTGGGTCCATCAGTTGTTTGTCCTGCTATTGAAACACTGATCAGTGCCGTAGCTCTTCATGGTTGGTTCTGACCCCCTGCTGGAAGGCCCTGGAGAGCAGGTCAATCTGTCTATTTTCTCTCTTCCCCCGAGAGCCTAAAGCACTACCTCATACATCATAGATGATCAACAAATGTTTTTTGATTTTCACATTTTGGATGAAAGCTCTGACTGTCCAATAGCCCAGCCCACCTCCTCTGGCAAATGCTTCCTGTCCCTGTCACCCCACTTTAGGTACCACTCTTCTGATGACCACACCTTGCCTCATTTTGGTTTTGTTGCCTACAAATACTCTGAAAGTTCAAGCTTAGCATAAATCACATCTAGATCTGTGTTTCTAGTCTCTCCTCCCTGTCCCCAAGGTCTTGAGGGACAGCATGTGCTGATCAAATGCTTGATTTGGGCTGGAGCCGTCAGAGGCTGCTGGTGTTGGGGGCACAGCCTCCCTTTGAGGAAGGTTGGTGGCCTGCTTCCCTTTCTCTCTGAAGGCTGTCCAAACATATAGGCTGGCTTTCAGAGCTGGATTCCCCACCCCATGCTGAGATTCCAGAAGTGCTCTAGAGGCCTGGCTTTTATTTCTTAGAGCAGATTTCCTAGAGCTCATCCAAGTTGTTGGTGGCACAAGCTCTTTGAAGTCAGCACCCATCCCCCAGCTCCTCTCAAATCTCTATCATCTGCTTCCTTTTGGCCCCTTCTTTTCTCAGATTATCTCTAGGTAGGAAGGAGCTTCCCATTTGGAGGTAGATGAATTCTAGGAATACCTAGAGGAGCCTCCTTAAAAATGCAATTCAGAACTAACTGAAATCCCATGACTTCATCCTCTAGTGCTCAAGACAGGAGACCAGTGTCCAGGGAACAGAAGCATTTGGCCAATGAATTTGCAGAAGACTCTGTACTCTTGATTCTTGGAAACTTACACCCCAAAATTAATTGATCAGAGGAGCTGAGATCAGCGCATGCAGGGGCCCAATCTCAGATGCCACAAGGACCAGGAAGGTGATGCCAATGAGCAATATGGGATACAGATGATTGATGACAACTGAACCCACCTTGAACATTGGAAACTGTTCTCCAGAGGGTGAGCAGAGGCTTATGCATCATGATCAGGGGTGCCAGAGCAGCAGGGGAGGGGAGAGAGGTGGGGAAGGACCAGAGGCAATAAAAGGATTTTCCTTTCTTTTCATTTTTTTTTAAATCAAACTGGCCACCACTAAGGTCCACTTATTGCTTGATCTTGTGGAACAGCCCCCCCACCCAAAAAAAAGTTGCAAAAACTGTTAGGAAGAGAAGGAGAAAAATATGTTCCATGTACCATGTGTCAAAGGTTGTCCCCACTAAACAATAACTTGATTTTACTTCCAGATCCTAAGCTATGAGAGTCAAAACATGTTCCTCGGCACCCCTGTCACAGTGTCAACAAGCAAGAGGTAGGCAGCAACAACAATCTGGATTCGAGGCCTGGCCTCCATGCAGAGATGCTCACTGAGAGAGGTGGGGCAGGCCAAGGGGCCGGAAGCAAGGCTGAGAGAAGACGGGGACACCCCACCCCAGCACTAGCACCCACCCTGACTCTCCATCACTTGCAGCATTCAAAATACAAAGTGAGGCCTCCTTTGTGTGAGAACTTCTCTTTTCTGAAGGGTCAGATACAGATATAGTCAGTCAGAGTCCCCTTCAAGATAATAGCCATATATAATTTCAGAGACTTAAGACCAGAGGAGAGTGAAACAGGTTCCATTCTTGAAGAGTTGGAAGGCTGCAATTTGTCATCATTGTCTTCTTTCTCCACTCTCCCACAGAGGTTTCCCCCACCAGGCCAGCCTATGGGACCTGGCCCTTCATCCCTGAGCAGTCCAGGTACTTTAATGGCCTTGCTTTTGAGGAGTCGTGGTCACCATTATCACAGAGGTACCAAGAGATGCCCTGGAGCATCTTCTGATTCCACACAAACCCACCCCCCACCCCACCCCCATCGTGCTGCAGCAACAGCCCTGGTTTCTCACCCCGTGGTCAGGCAATTAAGTCGGCCATTGTGGTAACACTTCTTTACCTGATGGTCCACCCAAGGAAGATCCCACAGTGTCTAGGTAGTTGTTGTGACTAGTTCAGTAGTAACTTCACTTTGTCCTCTGGCAGAAGCATTCATCACCTGGGAATCGAGCCACTCTAACCTGGCAGAGCCTGTGTTTACTGGGAAAAGAGGCACAGATTTCTCAAGTGGGTCAGTAGGAATGATGATGACACGGCAGATCCCACTTGTACCCCTTCATTCCGGGTTCTGTGTGTCCTAGTCACAGAGGGCAGAGCATCACATAAGGTTCACTATTTCAGCTCATACCCTCAGAACAGGGTGCTGTCCCTGAGTTAGCACTTCACCTTAATAGGAGATGACACCATTGTCTTGGGCTGGCTGATTCTGGGTGTTGGGGTGTGTGATGAGACAAGTGCGTCCCGGGACCATGTGCCTATTGGTACACCTTTGAGATAATGTTATATGGTGCATCATGCCAGGAAATCAGGTATTTTGTCCACTCTCAGAATCTGGTATGGTGGAGGCTCTGTGGACAAGGCAGGCAGATCTATGTCCAGAGGACAGTCCATCCTAGTAAGGATGAATTGCTGCCCTTCCAGAGCTAAGGGTCTAAAGCAATCAATATGCCACCAGTGACTAGCTTGTCTCCTTAAAGAATGGTGTCATATTGAGGTTCCATGTCACCCTCTGCTGCTGACTCTGAGTATTCAGCTGTGGCCATTGCAAGATGGGTCTTGGTGAGATGCACAGCCTCCAGCCCAGCCACCACAGCCCCTCTGCCCCTGCACTCTGCTGGTCGGCGAGAAAGGCAGGTGGACCTTCCCAGAGTGAACCTTCATTTCTACCGGATGGATGCGAACCTCTTCTGCCGTGGATGCTTCTGGAGTTTAATGGAAGACGAGAGATGCGCATGCTTTTTGTGCCCACTTCCTTGTCCATCCACTCACCTCTGCTCAAGGCTTCCTTGTCTGTGATTTTTCGAAGACTTCTCACAGCATCTTTATCTACCACATGAACTCCCAGACTCGGATCTGCTGCAACACACAATCCCAGCACCAGGGCAGCCTCCACCAGGGACTACACTCCCTGCAGAGTCCCTCTTTTGATTTAGGTCCCACTGTAAGCAAGTAGTATTTCTAGTCACACCACAGATAGGTCAAATGCGCCATATACTGCCTCAAAAACCCCACTGAGCATGTGCCTCTCTCTTACTGGGAGAAAGTACACAATGCCACAATTTGTCCTTTACCTTTGAGGTGTGTCCTACAATGTCCCAGATCACTAGACCCCTAAAAACATCACCAACATGGCAGTCTCCAGGTCTCTGTGGGATTACCTCCCACTTGGTCACCCAAGTCTTACTAGAAAATTCAATGTTTTCCATCTTGTGCTCCCAGGAGCGATTTGCATGTCAATATAGGGAACCCATGCCATGCGGTGTGTTGAGGTCCCTTTGGACTGCAAAGGGAGGACAAGAGAATGAGCGTAGCCCTGGAGTGAGACAGCAAGTGGGTCCCACCATGTGGGAGCAGCCAAGATGACCGCTTTTGATCCTTCCTGTGGAGGAGGAAAAGAGCATTTGCTTGATCAGTTGCCTCCTACAGATGCTGGAGGCTGTTTGACCTGCTCTTCTCGAATGACCACATCTGGCAGGGAAGCTGCAGCCAGGGATGCCACCTGGTTTAGTGGATGTTCATCCCTGGTCATGTGCCATCACCATCCTGGAGTTAGCAGGCTAGAATGGTGAGCTGAGCAAGGACATGGAGGGGACACCCACTTTATATCCTCTAAGTTTGTAATGGTGGCACTAATCTCTACAATTTCTTTCAGAATGTGCCAATAATTCCTCCCATTTATTATCTTGTCTGAGCTGGAGGGTAGTTTCAGGGCCTTCCACTTGGCCCATTCAACACTAATAACCCTTCATTCACAGGTTGTGGAGCCAAAAGGGAGGGTTCTTCTGGCTCCTCCATATTTCTATCTCAACACATTCAGGGACTGGGGAAATAACCACAGGGTAGGCCACGGACTCCTGAACCCACTGGACATGTTTGGGTCAAAAGTCCACTTGCCATCTGGTCCCTTAGCCATCAGTGGTAGACCAGATCCTATATTTAAATGTCCTTAGAAATGTGGGTGTCTCTAGCTAGATGTGATGTTACTTGCCGATCATCCCAGAAACTTGGGAGGTAGAGTCAGGAGGATCACAAGTTCAAGGCCAACCTCAGCAACTTAGGAAGACCTTGTCTCAAAATAAAAAGTGCTGGGATCTTGCATTCAATCCCCAGGACCAAAAAAAAAAGAGAGAGAGAGAGAGAGAGAAAGAGAGGTGAGAATCTCCCTGAGGTCCCTTTGAAAGGATAGGGGAATGTTTATCATATACACTTGTGGTAGCATTTCATGGTCCTGCCTAAAGGGGACCCTCTTCTGAACTTGTAGCAATGGATGCTGGCTGTGTGATCTGACCTCCGTCTGGAAACCAGGTGAGGGTCTGGTGTTATCTTTCTCCTTACTGTTTCTTTATTAGATGAGTTAAGCAACTCCCTTGCCAGCTGGCCATCTTTCACAGCATGGCTGACTGGCCACCATCAAGTATGTATAAACGTGGACGTATAACCAATGTGATCCTGCAATCTGTACACGTGGTAAAAATAAGAATTCATAACCCACTTGAACTAAATGTATGAAATATGATACGTCAAGATCATTGTAATGTTTTGAGCAACCAATAAAAAAAAAAGATGGTCAAGGCAGTGGTTTATTGTCCACTTTGCCTCTGATGCATAAATGCCACCCCATGGCCTTTATGCCACCCAAATTCTGCCCTGTCCCAGATCTTAGTGAGCCTCGTACCACCATCAGCCCTGGTTTACTGAAAACAACAACCACGAAATTTCTCAGATACTGGTGTCCCCCCACCTCCAACCAGGGCACCCCTTATTGCTTTGGCGGGAGCCGGGCTTGCATTTGTTTTCTAGGGCTGCTGCAACAAAGTGCCGCAAATGCTTGGCTTTAAACAATCGAAATCGACTTTCTCAGAGTTCAGCAGGCCGGCAGTCTGAAATCAAGGCAAAAGAGACCCCGCCACCTTTGGAAGCCTCCAGGGAAGAATGGATCTTCTCTGTCTCTTCCAGCTGTGGCTCACAGCAGCATAACTCCAGTCTCTACTCCTGTCTTCATGTCGCCATCCTCCCTCGGGGTCTCTGTGTGTCCTCTCCTGTTTTTTCAGAAGAACACCAGTCATGTTGGACTAGGGCTCACCCTGCTGACTGCATCTAAACCTGAATGCATCTCCTAAAGCTCTGCTTCACCTTAGGTCCCATTCACGTGTACTGGTGTAGGCTGTGTGAATCTCTTGGGGATACACGATGCCTCCCACGATAAGAGTCAACTGGTAAGTTCAGGTACTATGCAGAAAATCAACTCTGGAATCCCACCTCCCTGAGCCTCCTGACACCCCCTCAGTACCATGCTGATAAAGCTCTGGCATTTCTACTCATTTTCTCTCACCCATTGCCATGGCCGAGCTCTGAGTAGCTATCCCACACACCATAAGGCCAGGTTCACTGGGATGCTCAGGGCTTTGAGGCAGGGGAACACAGTGCAGTCCTAACACTCGATCTGAAATCAAGGGTGAGTCTTTTCATGTCCACAAATCCTCCCCCACGCAGCCTCTGTCTCCCATCAATGTCATGATCATGGTCTGTCCCGATGCCTCGCCTTCTACCTGCACCTCTTCCCCAGAGTATACAGGTGAGAGCTTTAGTAACTCTGAGGCCATTGCATGTCAGGGCTGTTACCACCCAACTAATCACGAGCAATAGTGTTCTTATTGCCAGAACCCCAGTGCCCAGTCCTACTCCAGAATCTCATCTTGAGGGTTGCTCCCAACACCAACTGTTCCAGGATTCCCCAGAAAGCAGAGCCCAAGGCAAAGTCTGCTACTTCTTCATTAGGGAGCACAGTCCCAGGCAGGAGAGTGAGGCAGGGAGGGGAGAGTCATTCTGAGGATGCATTACGGAGCTGGCTGCTGCCAAGTGCGACTGATTGCTCAATCTTGCAAGACCATTTCAAAAAGCTGTATGTCTCAGGAGCATCTGCTGGGAGGGAGGAAGAGGGAAGACTTTTCCACTAGCTCCCATTTTCCATTGATCAAAGTTTTGGCTCACTGGGCATTAACTCCCCAGCACTTTCAGGTTGTGCACGGTGGGTGCTGAGTGGAGCTCTGCAGCTTCCACCTCTGGAAAGGGAAGCCCAGGGCTTCAAGGCAAGGGGCACACAGTGCAGGCGGCCAGCGAAGCACTGTCTATTTTTACCTACATGAGGTCAGTCAGAGCCCACCAGGAGCTGGGAGCAGCTGATGAAACTGGAGACAGAGGAAACTGAGAGGCTCTGAAGCAGGGGACAAAAGAAGGGGTTGGCAGTTCTATGGTTAAGATGTGAGGTATCCACCCCCTGCCACAATGCTCATGTGTGAGACAATGAGAGAGTTTAGAGGTGAAATGATTGGGTTATGAGAGTCTTAACCTAATTAGTGCATTAATCCACTTGAATGGATTCACTGGGTGGAAACTATAGGTAGGAAGGGTATGGCTGGAGGAGGTGGGTCCCTGCGGGGGTGGGGGGTGCCTTTGGGTGTGTATTTTGTCTGGGGTGAGGGGAGTCTCTCTCTCTCTCTCTCTCTCTCTCTCTCTCTCTCTCTCTCTCTGTCTCTCTCTCTCTCTCTCTCTCTCTCTCTGTCTCTCTCTCTCCCCTGCCCCTTCCTGGTGGCCATGTCCTGAACTGCTTTTCTCTTCCACGTCCTTCCACCATGATGTCCTGCAGAGCAGTGGAGTCAGCCATCTATGGACTGAGACTCTCTGAAACTATGAGGCCCCAAATAAACTTTTCCTCCTTTAAAACTGTTCTTGTCAGGTCTTTTGGTCACAGCAGCAAAAAAGCTGACTAAAACAGAGAGACGAGGGGATGGGTGTGATCCACAGTGGAGAATGTGTGCCCCCTCGGGGCAGCAGCTGCTCTCAATTCCATCTGATCGTGAGATCTTCTGACGTTTTTTCAAGGAAGCTAGTTACTTGTGTTTTTATTAAAAAATTGACACTGTGCTGGTCAAAGACAATAGGTCTGGTTCCACTGGTTTTCAACTTCTGATCTACCCATCTCATGAACCTGAGCCAGGAGAGGGGAGGGAAAGAGTTGGGCCTGGTACTGGGACCAGTGCTCTTTCCCCTACTTTTAGAAGGTGTGTCTTCTAACAAGATCCTTCACCTATCCAGAGGCAGGAACTGCCCCTTGCCAAGATCTAACTGTCCCTGGAGTATGGGAGTGGTGGAGGGGACATTTTCTGGCAAAGTCACTCTGTCCCCTGTCCCACCCCTTGCCCTACTGGCTCTTAGCTTCACGCTGGGGCCTGGTACTCAGGTCCCAATGATTCTCAGCCTCGTTGGTCTGGCTAATGAGATGGAGGCTGTGGATCCCCACCACACTGCCAACCTGAGACCAGGGACCATCAATCCTGCTTCCCCATTGCCGAGGACACCCCGAGTGACGGATGAAGCGCCCGGGCCATGAATCATCTCCCTTACCTTTCCCCATCTCCCGGCCAGCTTTGTAGAGCTGAGAAGATGAATGTCTGCAGGCTCTCACCTGCTCCCTTGAATAATTTCCTTCTAAAAGAGGCCACTTATCAGTAATTCATTACTCGCTTTTGTTAGCATAAACAAGACCAAGGAAGTGGGCTGGGGGTGAGGCTTCCTGTTCCTCCCCCCAGCCCTGCCCCATCATTCCTCGGTCCTGTGGGTTGGCCTCCAACCTCAGCCCTCCTTCCTGCTGTGGAGCAAGGCAAAGCTGGTTCTTCAGGACGGTTGTTCCAGCTGGTGGTACCCCCCTGACAGATGGCATACAGCTGTTTCCGGTGTCATCTGGATGAGCACAATCAGCTCCAATTGATGATTTCTTTTAATCTTGAATTAAATGTCACATGTTGCCTCTTTCCTTTATGGCCCATATACACCTCTGTCTGTGTTGTCTGTAACTACAGAATAAGATATTACTGGCGGGGGACTACTTCTCTGAAAGCCAGTCTTGTCTCTGTGCAGTTTCTGTTTGTTGGAGTATAAAACTGGTCCCCTGACAGTAGCGTGGGGGAACCTGGAACATCAGAGATGACCCTGAAAAGGATGAACATTGAGGTCACAAAATTAGGACCGTAGATCTGAGTTCGTCCTGCTACCCCAGGGCCTTCCTTGGCAGGAGGTATATGTGTGACCAGGCTGGGCACTGGGTGGTGCTGGGTTTTTGCCATAGGTATGTGTCGAGGTGCAGTTCCAGAGAGGTTCCCCTGATGTGTTGGTCAGCTTTGTGTTCCTGTGACAAAAATACCTGACAATGATGACTTTGGAAAAAGTTTATTTTGGCTCACAGTGTCAGAGGCTCAGTCCATGGTTGGCCAACTCCATTGCTCTTGGGCCCCAGGTGAGACAGAACAACATCATGGCAGAAGGGTGTGACAGGGAGGCACTGCTCCTCTTATGGTGGGCAGGAATCAAAGAGAGAGGGGAAGGGGCCACGGGGAAGATGCACCCTTCCAGGACATGCACCCAGTGACCTAGGTCTTCTAGCCTCACCCCTTTGCCCACAGAACCACCCAGTCAGTCCATTCAAACCAAGATGGACTGATTAGGTTACAGCTCTCACAATATAGTCATTTAACCTCTGAATATTCCTGCATGAACACAGGAACTTTTATGGGACACCTCATATCCAAACCATAATAGGGAGTGAGATCTGGCAGGAACCAGGGGAGGGCACAAGGTTCTTTGAGTGTCAAGGACCAGGGCAGGAGGCCAGCCAGGCAGGGAAGTCCCCTACCTTCCCATCCTTGGCAATGGAAAGAAGAGGACAGCAGATTCTAGCTTAGCCTGTTAGGGACCAAGGCTCATTTATTTTTTTTTAATGCACCACCAGGGGACCAGGAAAAAGAGAGGCTTCCTTCTTCAGATCTAAGTTCTTTTCCTGTTTCTCACATAGAAGCACCTCATCCCACAGTGACTGTGACAGCATTGCACAGGCCACTCAAGGGCAGTTTTTATAGCTCTTCCCGTCTTCATCCATTCTGCGGCAGCAGTAGGGACATCTTCAATCATAAACCTGATTATGACCTCCCTGATTAAAATGGCTTGAATGGCTTCCCATTGTCTTCAGACTCAGGTCCCGAGTCCTGGATGTGGACTTGCTGGAAGAAGTCTACTTGCTGCTCCAGACTAGATAGACACACTATGTCCTCCCCACCTGCTCCTTTAGTCTCTCAATGAACTTGAAATCACTGGCTTCACACCGATGCTCCCTACCAGCCTTTGCATGCATAAGGCACAGATCCGAGTCCTGCTTGCTGCTGTTTCCCCAGCACCGAGTAGAGAGGCTGCAGGAGGGGCTGCTCTCTCTCCTCCACCCTGCATGAAGGATGAGGAGAGAGCATGCAGGGGAAGCCTCAGGCCGCACATCATCTACACAGGGCATCGCTTCGCCACCTCCAACCTCTGCTTCTTCCTGCACCATCAGAGATCTCTGTCCTCTGCTGAGCCCCTTAGCTCTAGCCACCTCCTCTAGTCTTTTCTGGTCCCTGAAGATTACTTGCTCTGACCTTGAGCCCACCTCCCCTCTGCTCTAGGGTGAAAGGATCCATCCTAAGACTAAGGAACCGCAGCACCTGGCCTTTTCCCAGCCAGCGAGGACACTTGATGGAGACGCCTGCCCGGCTCCACCTCCTTTTCCCTGGGCAGCTCCATGACCTCCCTGCCCCAGCTTCCACCTACACGCAAGGAAATGCCCAGAGCGTCACTGCCCATCAGCCAGCTCTCCGCACCCCATCTGGGGTCACAGTTTCATCAGGACAACGCTGACATGAATCAACACAATACAGCACATTTGCAATTCAATTGCTGCTCATCCTTAGGACTCCAGCCTACAAAAAAGACATGCAAATCTAGAATGATTTTAGGGAAATTTGGGGGTGTTTGCCACAGGATGGTGGTGCAATGACCAGAATCCTTGCTGCCCGAGGCCAGCTGTCCATTAATAAGGTGCACATTAATGTCCTTTTCTGGGAACCCTGAAAGCTGTTGTGCCATCATTTGCATATATCAGCATATTCTATGCTGCTGCCTATCCCAGGGTCCGCAACCTCTGCCCAGGGAGCCAAGCTGGCCAGCAGGCTGGTTTTCCTTGGCAGGCAGCCGGCAATCCCCACCCCTGGCTGTCCTTGCCATGGCAAACACTGCAGCTGCAACCCACCCTTTGATGGCCCCTTGAACGAAAGCTCTATCCTTACTCATGTATAGCAGCCAGGTGACAGAAGCTACTTCTCCCTACCTGGGGCAGGGTGGACAGTTAGTCCTCTCCCACCCTCTGTCACACTCTAAGTAAAGAGGGCTTGGGAATCTGGCATGTGTTTATTCAGCTGATGAGTAGCTTTATTGAGCACTTACTAAGGGTCAGGTGGTATGACGGGCACTGGGGGTACAAAGAAGGTGTGTGGGGGGGGTCCTAACACGAGCAGCTCAGTTGCTGCTCCCCAGACCTGGGGGTTCAATAACGTAGACAGGGTCCTTCCCACATCCTCACTTTACCATCCCCCACACTGTACCTGAACCTCTCAGCCCTTGGCCCCCCAGTGGCTCCAGCCTCAGTGCCATCACCCACCCCTGTCTGCCAAGCAACTCCAGTCCACCCACTGTCCGTGGCACCCTGGACCTCTCCCGTCAGGGTGAGAGCCCTTCCTGTTTGGGGCAGTCAAGGTGTAGATGTGAAGCACACCTAAAGGAGCCTGGCCCCTGGACTTCCTTGGGGACGGAAAGGGTTTCTCTGGTGGCAGTTGGGGTCTCAATAGTGGTTTTCCTTTCTTGGCTTCTTCACCAAGATGATGGATAGACAGGGCAGGATGGAGGAAAGACTGACAGGTGGTGATGGAGAGAGGCACGAGGTTAGCCGGGCCCTGTCTGGGGGTTGTTGGGGGCTCCGGCCTCGTGATCCAGCCTCTCTGAGAAGGAGATGCTTTTGGCCAATTCCCAAGAGGCCAACAGGCTCCTGACAATAGCTCAGAGGCTTTGGAGGGCAGAGTGGGTTCCCCTTTTTCCAGTTCTACAGAAGTAGAGGCTTGTGAACATCTGTCCCCCCTGGGGGCCTTTCCTCCTCTCTTCCCTGTTTTTGTTGGCCCCTAGGTCCTCTCTTCTTTCAAGCTAGAAACCTCAGTCTTCGGTATCACTGCTTCCCCTCCTATGGCACTTCCCCCGGTTCAGTGCTCTGCGGCCCCATCCAGCACCGTTATGCGGCTGTAGGAGTCAAGGCTGGAACCACTTCTTGCCAGAGCTATTGCTGCAGCCTCTTGACCAGTCTCCTGGTTTTGATCCAACTCATTCTGGTGCCAGGTTAAAATTTCTAAAATAAAGCTGGGCGTGGTGGTGTCACTTGTCATCCTAGTGATTCCAGAGGCTGCTGAGGCAGGAAGATTCCAAGTTCAAGGCCAGTCTTGGCAATTTAGTGAGACCTTGTCTCAAAATAATAAGAATCCTGGGGGTGTAGTTCAGTGGTAGAGCACTTGCTTGGCATGTGTGAGGCCTGGGGTTCAATTCCCAGAAATGCAAAAAAAAAAAAAATCCTTAAACAATTCCACCAGTACTTTCAATACCTCCTCTACCCATAGAATAAAGTCACTTCTCACTCTTGTGCCATCATTTTGATGGAGGAGGCATCAAGCCCAGTGCTTACTGCAGGTGATAATAACAATAGCTGATATAAGCACTTTGTGCCAATTGCTGATTTAGGTGTTTTCTATGTATTATCTCACTTAATCCATTCCTCAACCTTAGGAGGCAGCTACTATTGCAACATTTTACCAATGAGGAAACTAAGGTGTGAAATGATCAAGGAACTGCCCCAAAATTCCACAGATGGGAAATGGAAGAGCTGGGTTTGAACTTTTGTGGTCCGAGCCCAGAACTCACACTTTGAGCCACCATGCAGAACGATATCCCTAGAAGTGCGGTTTCTATATGTTCTATGAATCAGCATTGCACTCATGAACCAATTAATAAACCATAAAAACCAAATGAGTGGATGAATGTGGTGACTCTACATGACAGGTCACAGGACAAAAATACTGGTGTCTTCTAGAAAAGTTTTATTCTGCCTTTTAAGTAGAGCTAAGATAATGCCTATTTAGGTTGTAAGCTCTGGAGTCAGATAGACCTGGGTTCCAATCCTGAAGCCACCGTTCACAGGTGGTGTGGGTTTGGGTAAGTTATTGAAGTGCTGCTCCCTCTTTCCACTTCTGAACCTAAGAAAGACAACAGCACTTATTATGGGTGGAGAAGCCACGAGCCTCTGGCCCAGCACTTGGAACACAGCAAGGGCTCAACACGCCATCTTTCCTGTGGGGGCCGTCCCTTGCTCTCACTGCTCCCGTGTATGGTCTAAGGAAGAGTGAAATGGGCAAAACGCAATTTTTTTCTCTGTTGGCAAAGACCGTGGGTGTGATGGGCACTAAGGATTGAAGAGAAAGAGAGAGGTGAGCTCCAGGTGCAGAGAGGGGCCCTAGGAAGCAGGGACCCCCGCACTGTCCAGGACAGTGGATCAAGAATGTAAACTGAAGAAGCAGCAGCCTTATTGGTATTGAAGAGCTGACAGAGCCACCCTGGCTAGAGCATC